CTGGAGGCTCTTCAACAAAGAGATGTTCCCTTCCCTGTGTTTCAGTGAGCTCAGCTCGGATCCTCCGGGAGCTTAAACCCCAGGGGGAACAAGGGCTCAACTCGGTCATCCCCTGGTCCTCACCTTCACCCCTGCTCTGTTTGAACGGGCTGAGGTTTGTCCATCTGCCCCGGCCCTGCCTGTGGGCTGAATATGGGAGCAAACCAGCCCCAGTAAGGAGCATCTGGGCTTTGGCACCCAAAGACACCACTGCGGGCAGCAGAGGGCACAGACCCCAGGCAGCTCCCCCGGGTTCCCTCCATCCAACCTTGACAGACGTCCCCATGTGCCCCAGTTTCCCGTGCTGCAGCGGGGTGGGTTTTAAGGGGCTGGTTTTAGAGGTGTCAGCTGCACCCAGGGGACATCCTGCACCATTTCCCACCCAGCCTCGTGAAGGGGCTGGGGTTTAATTAATGTCTGCAAATTGCTTTGAGGGCGGCTGCTGCTGCTGCTGCTGCGAGGGGTGCGCGGATCCAGCAGCCGAGTGCTGGCATCTCACAGGGACCATGGCCACAAATTGCCACTGTGCTCCATGCCGTGGAGCTGAGCTCACCCGTGCTGGCACAGCCCTGGCGTGGGATGACTCGGCAGTGGCAGGGCCTTTATCTGCAGCTGGATTTCAGGGCTGGGTGGTTTAATAAGCATCGGGTGAAGCAGCAGAACATGCCCGGTGCTGCTGGGGCAAAGGTGTGTGCCTGCTCTTGGGGAGGCAGCGCCCGGGACGGCCCCGGGCAAAGCGTGTCTGTGCATGGATGGTGCAGGAGGGGTCTGGATGCTTCCCTCCCCTGGGTTCCCACCCTGGGCTGTGGTTCTGGGGCTGTCCCAGCCTTCCTCCTGGAGGGGTGACGGTGCCTGGGGGTCCCCAGGGGTCCCCACCGGAGCTGGGGTTTCTGGCCTGGGGGCTCAGGTGAGGCTGCCCCACTGCAGGCAGCTCGATGGATGGGGATGAAGCGAGCAGTGAGCGTCAGCATCCCTGCACAAGGGATAGGGCTGAGCCAGGCCTGTCTCCCAGGCCGGCGTTGCAGCGCTTGGCTCCAGCCGCCGTGGGTGATGGAGAAGCCACTGCCGGAGCTCACCGCAGCGGCTCATTGCCCTCACCGTGCGCTGCCCACCTCCTGCCGGCGCGGTGCCAGTGTGATGGAGCAGCCGTTCCCTGGTGCAGGCAGGAGCTTTGCCATCAGCATTATCTGGGCAGCAGAGGGGCCCAAGCTGCACTGAGCCAGCAGCAACCCACCCGTGGCTCTGCATTACTCTGAGGCTCCTGACATTTGGGTCACTTAATGGATTTGTCTCTTCCCCCTCCATGGCTGCCCAGGACCAGCTGTAAATCAGCCCTTGCTTTCTCACATTGGATCTTTACTTAAATACCAAACGCATTAAACGGCCTCTGGGTTCGGTGCTGGTGGCATCAGCACAATCCCAGTGCTGTATCCCAGGGATGGACCCGCTGCCGGCCGGGATCCCCGCGCACGGCCCTGCGGCTGCGCGAGGGTTTGTGCTCGGCGCAGAGGGACCCTCCGGGGCCCCTGTTTTTCCTGTTGCAGCTAAATTATAACCAGGCTTTGTGAGGAGGCAGCCGTGGGCTCGCGCCGGCTCTTCCCGGGGGTTTCTGCAGCCACCTCTTCCATGGGGTTTATTTTTTCCATCCTTCCTATCATTTCTAGGCTGATCCAAGTGAAGCTAAAGGGTGTAAATTACACCTCCCTGCACCCATCCTCGCCCCCCCCAACCCCCGAGTGTCTGGGGGCTGGGGATATGAGGATTTGCAATAGAGTTGGGTTTGTTTGGTAAGGAAAACAGCCCCAAAGAAGCAAGGAAACCCCTGGAAAGCGTTTTCCTTCCAATTACCAAGAAGGGGGAAGAAAAAGAAGTCGTTACATGCAAAGCTGGTGCTGGGCTCTGTGTGGGCAGAGGCGTGTAGAGACTAAACCAGCATCGGGCTGGGACGCAAACCCCCGCCGGGAGCTGGTTGGCAGAGATCAGCCAGGCTCTTTCCTTGTGCTTTTCCCATTTCCCAGTGAATTTGATCCATGACCTCATGCAGCGCCAATGGAGCATGAGCTGTTGTACTGGGTGGAGGTGGGATGCACTGGACTGCGCTGGGCAGAACTGGGACGCACTGGGTAGAACTGGGCTGAGGAAAGCCGTGTGGGGTGTAGGAGGAAGCAGCAGGACTCTGTGCTGCCATGGCCTCTTCATGCAACCACACTGTGCTGAATGGTCATGGATGCACCGGTGCTGAGCGCAGGAACCAGCACCCAAACCACAACCACCCAAACGCGACAGGGCAGCGCGATGGGCTTTGCACTCTTTCTCTTTCTGAGTCCACAAAGTAACTATGGAATTGATTCGTCTCGAGCGATACGGTGAAGCTTGACTAATTTAGTAATGATGACTTCAAGGTATTTCCCCTCCACAAGGGCCCGATGCTGATCCAAAGCCCTTTATGGGGTGCCATAGGACAGGACAGCCCCTCGCTCCGGAGCGGGTGTCCCTGGTCCCCGTGTGCTGTGCGCCTGAGGCCGAGCTCTGCACCATTCCCTGGAGCAGGGACCGGGGAAACCCTCATGCTTGGAAGCTGCTCTGCTTTCTCCAGCTCTGTCATTTAGTCTAATAGAAGGTGCTGCCTGGCTTGGCCAGCCTGGCCTGAGGTGCTTTAGGCAGGGCTGGAGCAGATCCCGCTATTGAATCCCTGGTACTTGAGCTGCTGATGGCTTTACTGTTAGGGTTGAATTTCTGAGTTGAGGCGTCTTTTCCTGTAATTTCGGCCAAATTTGGTCAGCTATTTCCAAGAACAGGGCTTGGGGGAAAAAAGAAGGGACACGAGCCTGGCATGGAGTGGTTCAGTGTTAGGGAGTGGGAACCAGTTCCCCAACAGCTCCTGTACTGGTTTGGTGGTGGAGGACGTGCTCTAGGTCCTGCTCATGCAGAGCAGTGGGCACCCCTCCGTTGAGAACTATCCCCCTGGTGCTGTGGGGTAGAGGAGCCTCTCAGTAGGTCACTGGGAGCTGATCCAGGGTCAGGTATCCTTTGGGATGTTTGCCCTTGGAGCAGCTCTGCCCCAGCACAATCAGGAGCAGTCTCAATGTGGGTGAACCCCATGGTGAATGGGCTGGGTGAGCGTGCACCTTCCTGCTAGATCCACCCTATAAAAGCCTCCCCCAGCATCCCACTGGATGCCACAGTCTCCTGGTGGCCCAGCTCCAGGGACATCAGTCCCTGGGACATCCCCGTTGTGGGTGGTGCTGGCTCTGGGCTGTGCTGAGCTGCAGTTTACCCCCTGAGACCTCTGGACGGGCTCTTTGGGGACTCCCTTCGCCATTGCCCATCACAGGGGATGGCCACCCCTGGCCCTCTTGGTGTGCTTGGAAAGGCTTTTAGTGCTTTGGCTAGATAAATGAAAACAAATAAAGGTGACAGACAAGCAGACAGCTTTATGATAGCTTCCCTGTGACAGGGAGAAAGATTGGCTGTCGGTGTCTTGATAGAGAAATATCTTGATGGGAGTCGGATAAAGGGATGTGTAACCTTGGTGGTGGAGGATGAGGATTTGCTGTGTGCGAGGATGCCACGGCAGCGTTATTCCAAAATAATTCTGCCTTTATTTGTTTTTACTTTTCAGAAGGGGGGGGGGGGGGAGAGGGGGGGAAGGAAGGGGGGGGGAGATGCAGAGCCCCACAGCCCACTGAGTTTTCCAAAATAGATCCGCTAAATAAATAATGACAATGATCCATCTTTTATTTATACCCCACCTATCTACATGCAGCGCTTGGAGGTGTTTTACAACCTTTCTCTCCCTTTTAACGGCAGCAAACTCACAACTAAAGGCGCATTAGGTGGAGGCAGCTTTACGGGGGTATTTGGATGCTGAAGCATAAAGACAGGCGCCGAGCTGGATTTGCGGAAGCGCCTCGGCTGCTGCTCCCGTGGATTCTAATGGGCACCTTGTGGCTGTCGTGAATCCGTCTGGATGCGTGTTTGCATCTGGATGCACGGCGGGGGGGGGGGGGGCTTGGGGGGCGCCCCGTGGATTGAGCCCCTGGGGACGGGGGGTCTGGAGCAGCCCGAGTCCGCTCCTGGAGCAACAGGGATCCATCTGTTGAGCGCTCCGCGCCCGGGGGGCTGCGGGCTCCGGTGCTCACCACCCGTTGCATGGCTCGCGGTGCCCGTGGCGGTGCCGGTGGCCGCGGCCCGCGGTGCCGCCCGTTGCCGTTATCACCACATCAGCGTTTCCCGAGCGCTCCGCAAGGGAACGCGACGCCTTGATGCAAATTTGGTTCATTTATTCCTGCATCGGAGGGGAATAAACGCAAATGGGGGGGGGGGGGGGGTCCCCCGAGCCCTCCCCTTCCTCGAGGTACCGCACCCCCCCCCCCCCCCCGCAACCCCAATGCAGAACCTGCCCCCCCCCCCCTCCAGGCCCCGCCCTGGCACCGGGCCGGGAGCGCGCGCGGCGCGCGGGGCCGTGCGGGGCGGGGCCGTGCGGGGCGGGGCGGGGCCGTGCGGGGCGGGGCGGGGCTCGGGCGCAGCATGGCGCGGCGGCACTGAGGCAGCGGCGGCCTCCCTGGCCCGGCCTTTGTCTCTCCGGTGTCCCCGGAGCGCAGGAGCCCGCTCGGGGGCTGCGCCCGCCCCGTCCCGCTCCTGCCCCGCAGGTGCGGCGGCAGCGCCGGGGCTCGGTACCGGGCGGGGAGGGGAAGGGGGGGTGGGGGGGGGGGTGGGCTCGGCGGAACTTGGCCGAAGTTCGGAGCGGGAGGGGGGGAGGCCCCCGGTGCCGGGGCGATCCCGGGGCCGGTCCCGGTCCCGGTCCCGGTCCCCGCCGTCCCGGGCGCGGGATGCGGCTGCCCCGGTGCCGCCGCGCCGCGGCCGCCCCCAACTTTCCCCGCTGACGGCGCCCGGGGCCGCGGGCGATGGTGAGGGCCGCCCGCCCGCCCGCCGCCGCCCGCCGCCGGCCCCAGGGCTCCGCCGGCCGCCGCCCCGCCGCCCGCTGAAGCGGCCGGAGCCGCGCCCGCCGCGGCCGGGACGATGCCGCGTTGGGAGGCGGCCGCGCTGCTCGCCGCGCTCGTCGGCGTCTGCGTCTGGACCGACGAGACCGGGAAAGTTATCTCGGACCGGTACGCTGTCTACTGGAACGGGAGCAACCCCAGGTGAGCCGGGGCGGCGGGGCCGGGCTGCCGCGGTGGGGGGGGCGGAGGGTTCGGTCTTCACTCCCCACCCTCCGGTCGGTGACAGGCGGCCGCCGCCGTCCGTTGCGGGTCCAGCCCCCGCTGTGCTCCGTTAAAAGGGGGGGGGGGGGCGGGAGCGGCCCTCGAGGGGTCGGCGCGGGTCCCGTTGTCCCCTCCGAAAGTTCTCCCGGGGACCCGGCGGGAGCCGTCCCTGGGGGCTGCGGCAGCGCCGGGAGCATCCCCCGCGGTCCCCGGGGGCGGCCACGGCTGCGGGTGCTCGGGGCTGGGGGAGCGGTGCCGCTGCCGCCCGCCCCCCCCCCCCCCCCCGGCCCCACTGCGCCCAACTTCGGGGAAGTTCAAGTCTCTTTTCCCCCCGGTCCCGTCCCAGCGGTCCCGTCCCGAGAGGGTCCTGCGGGACGGCCCGAAACGGGGTGAAAGGCGCCGGGAGCCGCCCCGGGAGGGTTTGGAGCAACGGGTTTGGGGGTGAAACGGCAAAACGGGGCGGTGCGGGCGGGGGTGCGGGGCCAGAGCTCGCAGCCGCCGCTCCCCGCTTGGTTTTCAGCTTGGAAAAGAAATGGCTGCGTCGTTGGTTTAGTTCCCTGCTCCGTGTTGGGATTTATTAGATTTAATCAATATTTGGTGTTGGTGTGTCGTCGTCCCCCCCCCCCCCCCAGCAGTTTTTATTTCTTCCCCCAACGAGAGTTTCATTCCTGTTGCGTTTCTTTGTTCTGCATTTTGAAGAACCCCCCAAAATCCCGCTGGAGAGTTGGAAGTGAGCATGGATTCATTCTGCTCCTGGCTCAGGTGGCTGGGACCCCCCCAAACTCCCCCGCCCTCAGCTCCCCTCTGTGCTCAGAGCAGGGTTTGACCAGGCTGGGTTCTGGGGACTTGTGTAAAAGACAAAAATGACCAAAACCACATTTCCCCCCCCCAGTTCCTCAAAACTAAACAGGCTCTGGGGTGTCTCCCCTGAGCTGGGTGCAGGGCGATGCTCAGTTCCCTTCTGCAGCGGGCGCTGCTGCCTCCAGCTCTGGACTGTTCCGTGCTCTGGTGTGAAGCTTGTTCCGTGGTCACCCATGGGTGCCCGTGCAGTGGGGCCCGGCCCTGGGACATGGCAGGCGGGAGTTGGGCCATGGCAATGGGGCTCATCCTCGATGGTCCCTTCTCTCCCACCACATACCCAGCAGTGTCCGGTGACACCATCGCACTTCGTTGAAGTTCCCGGTTGCCTTTTGGGATGCACATGGGGCCGAGGACGCTGGTGAGTGTCGGTGGCCATGCAGCCACCGTGTCCCGTTGGCGGGGACCGTCCAGGCACCGTTGCCCCCAGTCTGATGCCCCTTGTGCCGCCCCAAAATTGGGGCAAGCCGGTGCCTTTGTGCGCGGCGCTGCCTTCGCCGCGGGCCGCCTGCGGTGCATATGGATTTTATTATCCCACATTTTTGTGGGGGATTGTAAGAGGCAGGGAATTTTTTTCCCTATTTTTTTTTTTTTTTTTTTTGCCCATTGCAAAGTTTTTGGTTACAGTTCCTGGTCCTCCCCAGCTCCCACACTTGGGGCTCTCTTTTGTTCTCCCAAATGCCAAACATGTGCAAGGGGCTCCCCGGTTAAACTCCGGCATCCCGGCTGCTGGCGATGAGGGCGGCATCACTGAGCAGTTGGGGCCGTGGCTGAGATCGAGCACCCAAAGGTTCCTCCAGCACAAAGTAGCCTCTGGTCCTTGGGTGACCGATGGCGCAGGACCCGGCGATGGCTTCGGCTCGGCCCCATGAGCTTCCTGTGTCCCGTTGCCCCTTGTATGGGCGCTGCAGAGAAAGGCAGCAGGGAATTTCCCTTTGAAAATAGGTAGTGGGTCGTGATTACACGGATCCAGTTTCTTTCCTACATCTGACATTAGCAGGGAGAATATTTTTGAGGGGAAACTGAAGCAAAGGGAAGGAGCCGCGCGGGGTCGGAGGGACGAGCAGACAATGGCTGGTGGGTTTCCGCAGGCACGTCGCAGCGCCGGGATGTGACCCATATTTCCCCAACGCAGGAGCACCCGGTGTCGCAGTTGGCCGAGGCGCTCCCTGGGTGCACCTTTGGGTCTCGGGATTCGAGGCCATTTATTGGGTGTTGCAAAGGTAGAAATTGCCGTGGAGTTTTCTCCTTGGTTTCCTTTTTGAACCCAGCGGTGATTTGATTTTGGCTCTGGAGTTAGTAGAAAACTACCTCGTCCTTAAAAATGAAGAACAAAGTAGAGATGCTTTTTCTGGTCCGTTGTTTTCCTTCTCCTCCCTCCCCTCCGACCCCCCTGAATATTTAATAATGGGAAATCAAAAAGGATTAAAAAAAAGGAAGGTGAACCTGCCCGGTGCTTGTTTGAACCCACAGACCTGATCTGTTGATAAATACTTTCCGTTGGCTTTCTATTGCAATCTATATTTTATAAAAGGCAGTTATAAATCTCCTGGTCAATATGATTTGCCCAGATTAGAATAATTCCATATTTCATAATTGGGTCTAAATTAAAAATAAGCGCTACCTCGGGATGCTGCAGTTTGCCTGTTCCGTGGAGATACTGGAGCCTCTTGCTCTGGATTCCCAGGTTTCTGTTTCTTTTCTGCATGATTTTGGAAGCCTGCATGTGGAAAAGGGCGGCTGGGGCTGTGCTGGATGGAAGTCCTGGGTTATCCTGGGAACAGCTGAAGGAGGAAGAGCATGTCTCTTTATAATGATGCACTGTTTCGATGCCCGCAGATCACTGTGGGGTTTGGAGCACGTACAGGCTCACTAACGCTGTTTCATTCCCAGGGTGGGATGTGTTGGAAGGGCCGGGCTGGTCGGGGTGAAGGTTCTGCATGTGATGCTCCTGCAGATGGGACCAGAGGGCACGAGAGCTGGGCAGGGGTCCGGCGTCGCAGACAGGGCTCTTCCCTCCATGGGCTCCATGTTTTCCAGCCGGTGTGGCCGGAGGCATGGGAGCTGCCCATAGGGTTCTTGGATGGATTTGCAGCCTTGGGACCCGCAGCAGGTCAAGCCAGTGTCTGCTGGTGGGATGGCTCCAGCTCCATCCCCCCCACCTTGCTGACGTGATCCCTGTGCAATAGGATTGGGATGAGTGTCTTGGATGAAACTACGATGCGGGGAAAAAATCAGGGGTCTGGGAATCCTCCTCAGTACGGAGGGGAAAAGGTCTGCGGGAAGGAGCGCCCTGTCCTCAGAGGGTCCCTGCTCCCGGGATTCCCGGCCTGCAGCCTTGGGGCTGCGGCTGGAAACCTCTGGAAGGCCGAGGAAGGACAGAGGATTTGAGATTCGTTTTCGTCCCCTGTTCTACCTACAGCTACGTAATGGGCAGGTTAGAGTAATTCCAGAATGACAGTGTTCCTGCAGCCAAATGCAATTCCCGTAGTCGCTCTCTCCAGAGGGGGAAATGTGCAGTATTGGGTATTTTCCTCTCTGTTTACAGTACAGATACAAGTGCTGTAAATGGTCCAGATTTTGCTCGTGGCCTACATTTAACGGAGGTCATTTCTTTGCCTCGGAAGGTTTCTTTTCTGATTGTTTTCCCTTTAAATTTCTTGGTTTGGTGGTGAGCACAGCAGGGGCTCGGTTCTGCTGCTCCGCACTCCCCGATCCCAGCACTGGGAAGCCGGAGAAATGGGTTCTAGCGGGGGATTTACTGCAGTTGACGGGAGCTCAGGTGATGCTAAGGGACCGTGGTGGCGGCAGAGGAGGACTCTTATGGAGGGTCCATGCACAGGGATGGTGGAGCTGGGGTGAAGGGGCCAGGCCGATGGCAGCCGCGTGTGCCGCCCTCCGAGGGAGCCGGAGCAATGCGTATTTGGCTTTTCCAGGGAATTTGGTGCTGGAGAGGAGCGGTTCAGTGGGATGGCTCAGGCATGGCGCTGGACGTGCCCAGCCGTGCCTCTGTGCCGGGGCGGGTTTGGTGCCAGCCCTTCCATGGGGTGGGTTCCCCAAACCTCCATCTTCTGGCTCTTGTCTGGGGCTGCCTGGGCTGGGACCTCTGGGTGTCCCCGCTCCCTTAGGCAGGACACCCCATTTCCCCCTCAGAGTGATTTTAATGTATGCTTTAACTCCAGTGATTGCACGGTTCCCGTATCGGCATCAGGCCGAGTCCCCTCTCCGGGCTGGGGGTACCGGTACCCTGCCACGTCCCACGTCTGTGCAATTACTGCTCTTTTCGTTGTCATCTGTTTCATTTTCCCTTTGTGCCGAGATCATTTGCAGCCCTCCCCACCCCTCTTTTCCAGCCCGTTAAGCCGTGTTAGCTATTCTTCACCAGCCCAGGTCTGCGGCGAGCGTGGTTAATGGAGAGCAGATACAAACAGGTCCAGCGTCTCTGACAAGATTTTCTCTCCCTGCCCGTCTCCGTCTCTCTGCCTGTCCCTTTCTAGGGACCGCAATTACATTCCCTGCTGGTTGCACATTTGGTATCCAAATGCCAGCCATGCGCAGCATCCTAATGCGAGGACAGGCTGGGGCCGGTGGGTCAGCAGCTCCCGGAGCCCACAGTGTCGCCCTGCGTGTCCCAGAGTGGGGAGGCACAAAGAGGATGGGGAGTGAGAAGGGTGCAAAAGGAAGAGGGGGAGAGAGATGCCTTGTGTTACCATTGGAAAGCTTTGCAAGTGCTTTTATCTCTATGTGTGTGTGTATGTGCACATGCATACATACACCTTACACACATAAATAACACAGATGTCCAAACTCCGGCAGGGCTGTAACCACCCCGGTGTTGTACACGTATGTAATGTCTACCTGTGGGCTGAGGGACGTGTGTAGGTTTGGTTTTACCCATCTATCGGGGCAGGTCTCAGCATCCCGCTCTGCTCTCACCCCTCCCCGTCCGTCTCGGTGCGTCCCGCGTGCCGATGGCTGTGGCTCCCCGTGTCCGTACCTGCAGCCATCTGAGAAGGTTTGTCTGTCGGGCTGGCTGTACAATTGCAGCAATTGTTCTTTAAATAGCTCCTTGTTCCTGATGG